CAGGCTCTTAGAGAAGGCCTGGGTTCGATTTCCAGCACCCATGTGACTGCTCACAATCACCTGGAACTCCAGTTCCAGGGATCTGACACCCTCCCTCTCCTGAGCATTGAACACATGGGTGTACTTACATATATGCAGGCAAAGCACTCATATACACAAAATATGAATAAATAATTTTAAACGTGTGAAATATGGGGTTTGGAGAGATTTCTTAGTGGTTCAGAGCACTTGGTGTTCCTGAGGATGAGCTGGGTCGGTCCCTAGCACCATGTCTTGGTGCTCCTGAGGATGAGCTGGGTCGGTCCCTAGCACCATATCTTGGCTCACAATGTCCGTAGTTTCCATTTCAAGGTATATGAGACCTTCTTCTGACTTCTGGAGATATCTGACACACTCATGGTACATACATACACATACACAGACACACATACACACACTCACAGACACACACACACACAGAGGCAGGCAAAATACTCATAAATAAATAAAATTTAAAACATGAAATATGTGGCAAATGAGATGTCACAGTGATTTAAGGCACATCCTGTTACGATTGACCCATGTGCTCAGTCCCCAGCACCCACATGATAAAAAGAGAAAACAAAGTCCCAGAACTTTTCTCTGGCTACCATGCATGTGCCGTAGAATGCTAGATCACACACAGATACATAAATGTAGGAAAAATTTCAAATGTGAAGTATGATTGTGTTAGGACACACGTAACCAACAACACAAATGGACTGAACATGCAACTGTCTGTTGAACTGGGCTTTTAATGGACAGTGGAGGAACTTCAAGTCTCTCTCTCTCTCTCTCTCTCTCTCTCTCTCTCTCTGTCTCTCTCTGTAGAACAATAAGGTTTTGAATTGTTGCTAGTGAATAAATGCTTAAATCAAGAGACCATTTAGAAGTGAACGCATAAATAAAAATAGGGCCAACCTGGGGCAGTGATGAGCAAAACGGTGGCACTAACTCAGGATGGCGCTTATGTCCCTGGCCCTGAGGTCCATCCCAAGGCAGATCTCCTCTCCACGCCCATGTGTTTCATGCTGCTATTGTAACTGCGTGGACGTCAACCAATCATTGAACCAGTGAAGCAGTGAACATAGTCATAGAAATGAATGAACGTAAAGATAAGAGGGTGAAGCATTGTTCAATTGTATAAATCCATGAACAGTCAGCAAAATATGTTGGCATTTGAAAACATGAAGCCCAAAGAGAACTGATAACATGTAGCTGTTAGATTTTTTTGTCTAAGAATAAGATAGTATAAATTACAAATAATATCTACTTTCTTGGCTAGTGGAAAATTTGAAGATGTTCATTTTATAAGGATGTAATAAAATATTTTCTAATTTATGAAACCTTGCATGAACAACCCAATGAAAGGTAATTATCAAATACTAACGTTATAATACCTTCAAAAATCTTATGTGTGCTCTGTACTCTGCAGAAGGAGCACCTTCTTGAGGACTAACATGAGCCTCCGTTGTCCCCAGCCTGTGGCTTTCATTTCTGCGTAGAGCCTGGAACAGACGTGAGTAACAGCACCTTCATCTTTGTCGTTGCAGCTACTAATAAATAGTGTGAAATCACTGAGGTCATAGCAACTTGGTCTCAATGCCAGTCTTAGAATCAGTATATAGACTGTGCCCTAAATGAAATCCTGTTGACAACTGTCAAGAGATTTCCTCTCTGGCTAATTAAGTCTGTACGGGGATGTTGGGGATCTTAATGCACAGTATTCATGTATTGTGTGATCTATGTGCTTTCCGCATTAAGTAATCAATAAACCAATCTAGGTAGCAACAGAGAAAGGGGCCAATCAGAGACTGATGATGAGATCTGGTGGCATGTCTGAGTCATTCTCAGAAATCAACAAGTATCCAGAAATCTGAGGTCAAACAGGAAGTAATCTCATCTGGCCCACCTTTGATGGTGTCCTATGGATGAATGTCAGGGTATAGAAGTATCTCATTCGTGATATTTCTGTTCATGCACTCAACATGACTGTAAAGTAATCAAGACAGCGTAATAGATATATAAAATAGTGATGAGTCAAGTCAAAGATGACCACCAAACCATCTAGTGTGGAAGACAGGTAGTAGATACTTGACAATATGTGGTAAGAATTTGGAGAAGATAAGTATAAAATTCTCAAAAAATTAAAAAAATTATGTAATTAAAAAAAAATTGGGCCAGGTGTGGTGGCACACGCCTTTAATCCAAGCACATGGGAGGCAGAGGCAGGTGGATCTCTGTGAGTTCGAGGCCAAGCTGGTCTACCTAGTGGGTTCTGGAGCTACAGGGAAACCCTGTCTCAAAACGAAAGGAAGGAAGGGAGGGAGAGAAGGAGGGAGGGAGATGGGTGGGGCAGGGGAGGAAAAGAGAGGAGGTACTCCAGCAAGGGGGAAGGAAGGAAGGAAGGAAGGAAGGAAGGAAGGAAGGAAGGAAGAAATTGACCAGATGGAGTAAATCAGTGTAGAAAATCATGAGTCTTTGTTCTTTTTGATCGCAGTTCTAAAGTCTACTTTATTCAGAGAAAATGCCAAAAGAATTATTGTACTTGAAAACCTACAAATCTATGCCAGTGAGATGTGTGAACCCTAGGTCGGTGGGACAGACTGTCTCAATGTTTCCATTCCCTTCTCTTCTCTGTACTCTTTAGGACAAATGGACCAAAATGCTGGTGGAATTTTGCTTCGATGGAGACTTTAGGTGATGTCATTGTGTTGGATCACAGCTCACTGTGATTAACAGCCAAACTTCTTATCTTCCTTAGGACACATGATTGCAGATAGTCACTGTAGTTACTTCTAGGTAAAGTCTATAAAATAAGTATTTATTGATTGTTTTTATTGGAAAAGCAAAGAACAGAAATGAACTTAGACTTAGGTCATAGTATTTTCTTTTTTATTTCGTATCTTGTTGATAAATATATTAGTCGGCTTTGATGTAGCGAGTCAGTCTGTGCCTACGTTGCATAAGTTAAGTGAGCACATCTGTGTCTGTGATCAGTTCCTTATGCTTTAAACATTCCTATTTGTTTTGTGCCTTTGATATATTCCATACGTAGCTTTTGGCTGCCGTTGGCCTATTGTCCACTACTGTTCTTGGTGTTGCAAATCATCAGATACGTTCGCTCCACTCACCTTTAGGGATGAGTAGTATCTGACAAGGCAATTATACCTAAAATATATGAAAAATTCATAAAACTCATAACAGAAAAGAAATTACTTGGCTTAATAAAAATAAACAATAATTTTACATAAACATTTATCACAAAAGATGTAAAAACGGCCTGAGATGCTAATTTATATTATATTTAAATTACTATTTGCGTTGCTAATATGCATTATGTACTATACTTATATAATAATTCATATTACAAATAATTGGGCAAATACTCATTTTGATAAAGTCGGCTAGGATAAGAATGACACATGTAATAAGAAGAGGAAAGGACTAAGAGGGAGCCCTGCTAAACAGAGGTGGGGATGTAAATTAGGATAACCATTTTGGAAATGGTTTGAGGCCCTCAAAAAATTGAAAACAGAGCCATCTTATGAGCCAAACATCCGAGGAAAGGAAGCGATTCAGTATGTTAGAGACTCCTACAGACCCACGTGGTGGGCACAGCGATCTTCTGTGGTCACAGAGAATTACCATCTTAAGTTTCAATCAGCTGGAGGGTGGATAAAGAAAATGTGGTATGTGTGAAAAATGGAATACCACTCAGCCATAACAATTAAAGAAAAAACTGCTCTATGGCCTAAGAATAAAACTGTGAGTCATTATGCTTAATTGATCATGCCACACAGTTGATGAATGGGAGCCATAGTTTACGAACAGATGTTTATGTTTATTTTGTCCTAAGACAAAAGTAAATGAGTTAATCAAATACACAGTCATGAAAATTAGGGTCAACCAGGGACCTGTGATGGGCGGTGTAGAATGACTTTGAATTATGAACGAACTATGTCAGAACTTTTAAACCCAGCACAAAAGTAACAGAATCTATTTTCTTGGTAGAATGCATCCTCTATAAAAATTTAGCAACATTCAAAATTGAAAGGCTGGTCTGTATGTCCATGATTTTGGCTTCTAACATAATTACATGAATGAGAGCATCAATCAGAAATCAATCCATCCACCAATCAATCAATCAATCAGTCAATTGGTAGTGTATTTTTCAATTGCAAAATATACGGTGGTTCATGAACACTATTTATTCATTATGAAACACCTAAGTACATTTTGACACTAAGGAACGTCTTACTCTTCTCTCTTTGAATGTGGATTCTGGATACAGTATAATCACTTACATCCATGTTCATGTTCTGGGTGTTTGGATGTGCTGAATTTGCTTGCTTACTTAACTGTTAACTTACATTATGTAGTTGATAGTTATATAAGTCGGTCTGTAAATCAAAGATGAAATGATCTATTAAAATATGTTTTATCGTCTCATTTGCTCCCTTCCCTCCCAGTGAACCTCTGTGAGCTGTTGGCAGAATTCCTCATGGTCCAGACCTGTAAGAAAGGTCAGTCAGTGTGAGAAACAGCCATGACTCTTGTCTTGGTTTGGGTGGTTTTAGTGGAATTCACTGTTTTTTTTTTAAAGTATGAAATATAATCACATATGACTCTCTGTCACATTGTCAGTTTGTGATGAAGATGGATTTGAAAACTGGGTAATGTGTGTCTAAAATTTGCAGACTGTTAATAATATCTATGTATATACGGGTGTGAGCAACATTCTAAACACAGATCAGAGAGCCATGTGTCTGCTGTTTGTGTTACGTGAGGCGTTTACAACATCACTGGTGCACTAATGGGTTAGACAGCAAAGATCATGGATAATAATGTGGGAGATGGAATCCCTCCTGACCCAGTGATGACATCTCCAAGGTGTGAGTCCCAGATGATGAAGGATGTGTATCTGAAACTCTGAGGTCCAACACAAAAGATAAGTGGATAAGCCAGGAGCATTGGAGGAGACTTGGTTTTAACCCTATGCTTGCTCTTTGCTCCTCAGACTGGGCACTCCCAGGGGGTGGGGAGGATTTCTGCATCTCCTGTTACCACCAGCCCACCACTCCCCTCTGTGTGTCAGAACTCCTGACCAATGTGAGTGCCAGTCATTCATGCGGTTTATATGGTTTGTTGAAAGTTACTGACTTTATTATTCAAAATGATTGAATCTTAATCACTTTAGCCACATATACTCAGCGGCACATATGGAATTAATGTGATTTACTATATTAAAATGCTGAGATTAAGTATTAAAGGAGATGATTCTCTATACATCTGGACTATTTCTGGAATTTTGTGAATAATAAAATTTTCAATTATGATTAGTTAAGTAATGACTTGGTCCAAAGGCAGTATTGAAATTACAGGGGAAAAAAATGGGCCCAATTGTCGCTTGATGGTGACCACAAAAACAAACCACTGAATGCAACTGTGGCTCAGCGACAGCCACGGGAGCAAACCACTGGAGATGGTAGGTGTTGGTCTCGAGCCTGAGACCCACTAAAGAGGTTGGACTCTGTATTACTGCATCTTGTTCTATTATTATAACTGGATCCTGAATAAATTGATCAGTAGAATTGGAAATCAGTCAACAGGAGACGGCAGAGCAGCACCTAAAGAAACGCTTATGATGAAGCAAGAAATAGTATTTTGTATTGCAAACATGGAGTTCAGAGAGAATAAATGAGCAACCGTTAAAATTTATCTAAGGATGATGTAGTCAGTGTAAAATAGAAACCACATTCACGTCCGGGGTCAGTGTAGTTTACATACATATATCCCATGCCTGAGAAAAGGAAGCACAAGCCTGTACGCACTGACTGCACTAATGGAGCGCCGAGGCCAGCCGAGGCCAGCCGAGGCCAGGGAAGGGTCTTTTCTTTCTGTCTCCTCTCCTCTCTCCTAGGAATGGACACTTGAGGTCTGAGGCAACCGTCCAGTGTCAGGAGCCCAGTGCTGCGGCCTACTGTTAGAGCCCAGAACAAACGTGCGTAAGTTGGCGCTGTTCGAGTCCCTTTTTGAAAATGGTATTTGATACGTTTTTAAAATCAATATTTATAATCACAGGCTCCAAAACTCACTTTATTTTTATATTTCCAGTTACATGCTGGGAGCAGTGTCTCCTCACGGCATTGTTACCCGTGTCTATCTTCATATTTCCTCTCCACTAATTTACCCTCTTTCTGGTCTCCCATCTTCACACACACACACACACACACACACACACACACACACACCTGCTTTCATCAAGTGTGTGCTCCATGGCTTTCTTTGTCTACCCCCACTTAGAACTCGTCCTCCATTTTCAAGGTCTCTGTAACTTTCATGTTGTAGACACACATGTGCACACCAGAGGCACATTCATGCACACACATACACATATATACATACATACATCACACTCAAACACATATGCATGCACACATCACACTGACAAATACACTCAAACATATAGACACATACATTTATACACACCACACAAGCATACACACATATACCTGCATATACACACCACACACATACACTCATAACACAGACACATAAGTGCATACATTGCACACATATACACATATACATATATATGTACACACCATACACACATATGCACATACATTTACAGACACACAGTACACACCCATAGACATACAAGTACACACATATACATAGCACACACATATATTCAAACATGCATATGTACCACACACCATATGTGTATACACAGATACATACATATAGATACACACACATACAAACATGCATATACATACACACATGCATGCATACATACATCACACACAGACACACATATTTATGTGTACCCACCCACGTACACATATGCAGCATATTTGGGAAGCTGAGGCAGGAGGCTTACCACAAGATCTAGGCTGATCTGGGTACAGAATAAATAACCCTGTCTTAACCATTTAAATAAGCGTGGTGACATTAGGGAAATGGCTGGTGTGTGTCACTGGTGAGCAAAACGTGTGTGGAACTCTCGTAGTCCAATGGAAAGGAAAAGTGGGGCCCTTTCTCTGACAGATACGGCCCTATAGACATGTCAGACACATGCAAAGACCCTGGTGTGACCATTGTGCATCCTCGAATCATTGCTATGCTTGTACCAGCTCAAGGATCAATCGGTCATGGTATTGTCAGAATTAAACAAAATGGTTAGATGAGAGAATTGTACACGAAATGATAACCAATGAGAGCCGTGAGGCCAGGACAGGCGGTGGGAAGGTCTCCACGCTCTGCCTTCCAGTCAGGATGGCCATTCTGTGTGAGGGGAGGTTCCTGCAAGGGCAAGAGCTCTGTTCGCTCCCTGCCGAGGACAGTGAGAGCAGCAGAGTTACAGAAGCTCTCGTCTTGATTTAGTGCAGCATTTTAAAAGTGTATAATGTGGTTAACAATGACCAGCTGAATACCAGTGTTTGAGATGGCAGCTGCATACAACTTTCCATTCCTAATGTAAATACAAAATTGAAATATGAATTATATGAAAAAATAAAATGGAAAATATGATAAATTTGAAATATGAGTTAATGTCAAAGTCCTATCAATGTTAGTCAATATACAGATTAAGAACAATAAGACTCTTTGGGCTAAAAAATTAAGATTCTTTTGGGGGGTATTGTTAATCATGGGAATTATAACTAGTGAATTAGCATGGAAAGTAGAAATAATTAGACAGAGAACCAGTCTTGGATGGATGATGACCACCAGTGGCGTATGAGTCATACATGATGAATACATGTCTGGAACTCTGATATCCCGTAGGAAGGATGGGTGGGTATGTCAGGGATGGTGGCGGAGTGTGTCGTTTTTGTCTTCTGCTTTGCTCTGCGTTTCTAGAATGGGTGCTCCCTGGGGAACCTGTCTGTCTTCCACAGTCACCAGCCCATCAGTTGCATCTCTGTGTTCGAGCTTGGGACAAATGTGAGTTCTAGTCAAAGTTCTTCTTGTCGTTTAGATAGTTTGTTAAAGATTATTCACTGCATTACTAAAATGTGTGAAATATAACCACACTAGGCCAGTAACAAAAATGAAGTTAATATGAAATAGCAAATTAGAAACACATCGATGTTCACAATGTAGAAATTAGTGCAGAAAAATGGGGCCAATCCTGGATCGATGGCGACCGCTGGTGTTGGATATGTTTATGAATGACGACTATGTCTCTGAGACACTGAGGTCCTTCATAAAGTCCAATTTTCCCATCTCAAATGGTTGTATCAATAGATGTCACCATGAGGCAGAGCTGACTTGGGTGATTGTGTATGTGAATTTCCTGTTATTCTTATAATTGGATCAATGTGAGAATCAATAAATGTACAAATAAAGGTGAATTGGATGAAATATTATCCAATTATAAAGTAATACATGACTGAAATACATTCAATATAGAAAAGACAATCATTCAACTTTTATACAATAAATATACAAAGCCTTGTTTTTTAATATTTTATTTATTATTTTTATGTGTATGCGTGTATTGCCTGCATGTCGGTAAGTGCACCCATGTCATGCAATGCCCACGTAGGACAGACGAGGCTGTCAGATCCCCTGTAACTGGAGTTATAGACAGTTGCTAGCTGCCATGTGGGTGCTGGAATTCGTCTTTGTAAAAAAAAAATACACGATGAACAAGAAATATGGCTTAGATCAAATAATACAATAATTTATATTGTCTATAAAGTATAGATAATATGTATGTTTAAGGTCATTGCCAAGTTTGAAATTATTTAAGAGATAATTAAGGGGCTAGAGAGATGGGTCAGTGGTTAGGAACACTGGCTGTTCTTACAGAAAACCTGGGTTCGAATCCCAGCACTCATACGGCGGCTAGCAACTGTCCATAACTCCAGTTCCAGGGATCTGACACCCACTTCTGTCCTCTGTGGGCATAACACTACATGGGTTCACTTACATACATACAGGCAGTACACACATAAAATAAAAACCTATAAATAAAATATTTTTAAAAAGAGATGATCAAATAAATACATGCTTTGTATAAATGACTGTCTGTGATTGAGTAGACAGAGGTGAGAAGCAAAGATCAATATTAATGTCTTAAATATACAGTGAAGGGATTTTGGAATCCATGTGCCTTTACATACTTGCCACCTGTTTGGCTAATGATGACACCCATAAGATAAATTACAGACAATATTCTACTTTGGGGTCAAGAGGGAATTGAAATATTTTAATTTTTTTCTTAACAGAAAATGGAAAAAAATAAACCTTCAATTAACGATAGTTAAGCAATTATTGTTAATAAAAGCTGAAAAACAAGATTTACTGGAGAGGAAAAAATGCCATTTTCTTTGTCTTGGTTTCTGGCAACCTCAGTTGATGGAAGGAGCTTCCCTCCTTTGGACCCGGAGACCAAGGTGAGTTTTTACTCTATTAAAGTATGATGTTTATGTAATACTATTATCCAATGTCATATTTAATGGCAGAAGGACATATGCGGGCCAGTGGCTACTGGAATGGACACAAAACAAACACATGAAAAGTTAAGCAGGCAATCATATAACAGTGAATGGAGAGACGGGTGCTAACCCTGGTCAAGCAGGGCTGCTGTGGCATCTGAGAGATGATGGGGTCCGTTCTGGAGCAGTTTCACCACAGAAGAAATAATGGTTCTTTCTCTTTTTTTTTTTTTTTTGAGGGGACACTATAGACAGGGATCAGGAAGACAGGAGAGCCTCATTTTTGCCTTTGTTAAAATACATTTGCTATCTACTACTGCAGTTAGATCAATGAAAGAATCAGTAACCAAATAAATACGGTTGAACAGGGATAAGTACTATCCAAGTACAAAGACAAAAATCACACACAAAAACCCCACAAAATTAAAAGAAAAAGAAAAAATATTTTTCAAGGAAAGAAAAGATTTCTGTGTATTGATACAGGAAACAGGGCACATAGGTGGCTCGTTCTTTGACAGAAGATCAATCGCAGTGTTTGTGTCAGTTTCTACAATGTCTGTTTGTTTATAGACGAGAAAATAAAATAGGTGGCATCCCAAAGTAAATGAAAGATGGAAGGCAAAGACTGATGAGTGCAAATGATGCCTCCCTCTAGCTAATGACCTCTGCTTTATTCTACTGAGAATGAACACAGTTGCAGAGACATAGTACTTTTCTGTGGTTATATCCTTCTGTTATGAGTGTGAAGACACATGTGACCAATAATACTCAGAATTACCTTCTCAGTTAAAAAAAAGCCATTCACAGTATTATTTCAAAAGTTTGAAAATAAAGCTGGACCTGGTGGCACGTGCTGGCTTTAATCCCAGCACGGGGGAGGCAGAGGCAGGCAGATCTCTGTAAAGTCAAGGCTGGTCTGGTCTATAGAGCAAGTTCTAGGCCAGCTGGGGCTACAAAAAAAGTATGAAATATAATCACTTAAAAGAGCAACTTTGACCCAACTTTAAAAATGGGCTTAATATAAAGCATTCTACCAATTAATGTGCATGTACAACAGAAATGTATTGCTATGCATAATAGTTATATAGGAACGTGTTAGCAATGCTCAAGTTTTTGTGAGCCTTCTGGGATTTTTCTTAGTGACCTGATGAATTCATCAATCAAACCACGTAGACATAAATGAAGAACATTAGGACCACATTGAGCCAATGATGATGGCGGAGGTAGAGAGGAGTTGTGGAATATGGAGTTTCAGCACAACAGGGAGCTTATCTCTCTGTTGGGAGACTCTGTAGAGAGATCCTGGAGATCTTTATGGATCTTGTGTTTAGATTGTTTGACTAGAAAGGAATTAATGAGAGCCAGTAAACAAAATGTTGAAGTGAGTAAAGATGAACAGAGTGGCCCGCATTATAACTGTTAGCATGTGTGTCATGGAAACAATGGGTTTCATTGTATTTTCATACATGTGTAGCATTGTACTTGTTTCCATTCACACCCCCAGACCTCTCTTGTCTTACTCCCCTTACTGATCCCCTTTTCCTCTGCTTCAAAGTAGACCCTCTGCTTCTTGTCATTTACATATTTAAATCTAGATTTCATAGATAATAGTTATGATTCAACCCGCTTCTGAGATTACGTTCTTAAAATGAATTTTTACGGGGCTGGAGAGATGGCTCAGCAGTTAAGGGCACTGACAGCTCTTGCAGGGGACCCTGGTTCGATTCCCAGCATCCAGATGGCGGCTACGAACCGTCCTTAACTCCAGTTCCAGGGGAATCCAAAGCCCTCTTCTGACCTCTGCGGCATTGCATGACACGGGTGCACTCACATACATGCAGGCAATACACTCATACACATAAAATAAAAATAATAAATAAAATATTTTATTATTTTTAAGAATTAGTGGCATAACGTAGTGGGAATGACTTCAGGAAAAGTTAAAAAATCTGCCTTTAAAGATTGTGAGGCTCATTGATGTTGATTTTACATAGTGACTGAATTAATGAATATGTCAATAAATAAACTCATGTCAAAACACGGATGAACTTTAAGGATCCATAAGCAAGAATTATTAATTCAATTGTGAAATGCCTTAGTCCATTAGAGTTTTCTAACCATTCCCTGGTATTTAATTCATTATGGGAAAAAAAGTTAAACTAATGAAGGTTAATTAAATGACTTCATGCAAAGCATGGATTGACAGTGTGGCTGTGTCACGCTTCTTGGTATCTACTTTGTACCCCTTCAGGATGACTACACATTAATGTTTTGATCATTTCTTCAGGATGAATTCTGGAGCATCCATTATGTGACCAAGGGCCGTCTAGATCAGGGTGAGTAACAGATTAAGTTCCTGTTCTTGGTTGATCTTTTTCTTGCAGACATCTATGTTTTAAAATGACATTATGCTATCACACAAAGAAAACCCTACACACACACACACACACACACAATGGTGGTAAGAGTGTCCTGAGAAGCCATAAGTAATTTGTTTGCTCCAATGAAGTCCATTTGAGGAATGAATTAAACAATAGGTGAATATCAATAATTAGCAATGAATTATGCATATGACATAAAATATGAATAATGATAAATCAGATACCAAGGAATCCTTAGCATTCTAGTCACAGGACTTCAGCCTCTGCCTGACTCCACCTAGATGCTTCCAGAAAGTGCACTAACCATTTTATTAATCTGCTTTTCTCCTTCATGTGTAGGCTTGGATGACATTCTAGAGCAGGGATACCACAAATTCTAGTAGTAGGCATAGAGTGTGTTCATGGAGATTTCTTTTGGGTTTTATTATTTCTTTACAAATAACAAGTACTTGGAGACTGGCGAGATAGCTCAGTGGTTAAGAGCACTGGCTGCCCTTGCAGAGGACCTAGGTTTGATTGCCAGCACCCACATGGTGGCTAACAACCATTCTTAACTCCAGTTCCAGGGGAATTTGACACCTCCTTCTGACCTCCTCAGGCATTAGATGACACAGGTGCACTTACACATATGCAGACAATACACTCATTCACATAAAATAATAAATAATAAATAAAATAAAATAAAAACAAGCAAGGAAAAATGCTGGGAAGCTCAATGTCAGTCATCATCAGTTGTAAGATTACATCGTGGAAAAGGAACTTGTTTAACTTAGGACAAGTATTTCACTCTTCTAACGGAGTCTGTAGGATAACTTAGAAAGTAAATATTCCCTTTTGTTTGGCTGTGGAGTCCTTTTTGTTGACTTTATTTCTAAAAATGAGTGGCTAAATTAATAAGAAAAAATTCATACACAGAAAATTTAAATGACCAAATGGTTCTAGTGAGAGCATTTGTCATAAAACAAGAATTAAAATAAACTCAATTTTGCTTCCCATAAACCCATTTAACCAAAAAAATTTTCATTCGTTATCTTTGTATATAAAAAAGCCCAAAACACATGTTAAAATGCTCAATTCTTTTTTCTTATATTTTGGTGAGTTTCTGGAATTGTTGTTAGCATTATTTAGTAACTCAGCCTTTTTAAAAGTAAATGAGAAGTGGATAAGTTGTGCGCTAGTGATTCAATGTGTTTTGAGATCAGACTTATAATGATTTCTGGGTGTGGCAGCGCACGTCTTTAATCCCAGCACTTGGGAGGCAGAGGCAGGTGGATCTCTGTGACTTCTAAGTCAGCCTGGTCTACATAGTGAGTTGAGGGTCAGTCAAGGCTGCATAGGGAGACTCATCTCTTAAAATAAATAATAAAATAAAATAAAATATAAAATAAAATAAAATAAGTGATTACAGTTCTTCACTGACATCCCTTAAAAATAAAAACTTAATCTCTTGTGTCTATGTTTCAGTAGATCATGGTCTCAGTGCCGCTGTGTGTACTACTAAGGTACTTTGGTTATTTTCACATGATAGTTCTATGAATTATTTTTCTATATCTCAGGCACAAATTCTAGTTAACTTTTTCAGGTTTGATAAGAGTCTCTGGTATTCTTTGTCTTTAATTTTCTGGCACTTTGTATCTGAGAACGGTAAAATAATTGATAATAAGTTATTCTTTCCTATCTAATAGCTATTGACTTTAATCCTTGTCAGACCATGTATCTGATAAGACATGGAGCTCATGATATGAGCTTCATTCAGTAGCTCTATGACTAGATGAACATCGACTTATAAAAATAACAATATAGCAGGTCAAATAAACTTGTCCAGAAATGCCAAGAGAGGACTCAGCCTCTTGATGCTCTGTGAGACAGGTGATTGTGCCCTGAGGCCTGTGAAACTGGGAATGATACCCCTCCAATGTTCCAACTCAATGCTTGTACAAATGTTTGTACAATGAGTAGGAGTGAATGGAGGATTCCGTGAGAAAGCAAGATAGGAACTCATGACAATATGAAGGCTTATGCACACATGGAGATCAACAAGGCATCATTCAGGGACTACATCCAAAAGTGAATGCATGCATGATGAGCAGGCGAGTGGATGGGGTGATTTGTAAATCATAAGCAAGCTAGCATGGAATGAGTGAGGGATGAAAAGCAAAGTCAGTGAATGAATGACAAATGGGCTAATGAGTCAAATGCAAGGTAGATCAGTGAGTCAATGGATTCCTGAATGTATTTATGAATGAATGGATTGACAGACCTTCATTAGTAATGAAGGAATAGTGAATTAATGAGTCAGAGTTTGACTCAGTCAATGAGGGAATGAGTCACCATTTATCCACGTGAATGAATGAATGAATGAATGACTCAAGAATGAGAAGGTGAATGAATAAATTAATGAAAGTAAAAACTGAATGAGTGAGTGAAGAAGTGAATGACTGGGTGTGAATGAGTCAGCTGTCCAGGCATGAGGCAATGCATGAATGAACTCACAGCCACTCTTTCTGTGACTGTTCCAAGGAGAGTGGCCAAGCCTGACTCCACAGCAGGGTGTAAATGCTTGAGCCAGAGCTCCCTGCCTCCTCCATCTTGGGTGTTTGTTTACATGTCAGCACTAAATTGAAGTGCCTTGAGGGCCAGGAACTGGGTCAAATTCTCTGTATCCCAGCCCCTGCCTAGCCTAGAGCCTGGTAGGCGCCCAGTAAGTTATTGCTGAATGAATGAGCGAATGACTAAAAATACATATGCTTTTGTGGAACCAGCATGGTCTGGGAGCTGCTCTTTGGAGGGGTGTGCTGTGTGTCACATGGCCTGTGGCATCCTCCCTACAAGACCAGATTCTCGCCAGGGTCTGGCTTCCTGTGCCAGACGATGAGACAGGATACTGGCAGTTCTGACTGCCCGGGACACTGGCCCAGCCTTGGGTAACTCTGGCTTGGCATGATGGAATGGAAGCCCTGGGTCTTCCCGAAAGCTACCCTTACCTCTGCCAAGACAGGAGATCAAAAATAACCCAGGCTTGTTTTTATGCCTCTGCTGAGTGGGTACACGCCTTGCCTTTCCAAGCAAACCCAATTCCTCTTGCTTCTTCCCATGGGGCTTTGGGTTAAACAAGAAGCACCTTTCCACAACCAGCCTCAGCTTAAGGGGGACAATGACACCTTCCCGATATTTTCATGCTTTCCACAAGAGCTTGCTGTCAGGGTGTTCAGTGACACATGGTACTTGTCCCATATGTCCCATGGTACCCAGGAAAAAAGAGGTACGCCTAAAATGTTCTATACTATTCTTCTTTCTCTCCACCCAAAGTAGCTAGCTGTATTTGATCATTTCCGTTGCACTTGTTTAAAAACTATTGTGTTAATGCCCAATTTTCACATTCTAGAAAATGGGAGAGCTCAACCAAGTTCAAAGAAGAGTGCCAAATGGGAGAGACCCGTCCAGACTAGGCACGAAGAGACAATGAATAAAGTATGTTGATGACCTTTCCTCTATATGAGGCACTTACCCATGATTCCTCACCCATGTATCTCTCCCTTCTTCTCTCCCTCCCTCTCCCCCCTTCCCATTTGTTAAAGCAAATATGTGTCTAGCAATACCATATGCCTGACACTGACCTCTCTTCTTTCCCTCCTTACCGTGCTAACTCCCGACCCTGGACTCCGACTGTCACTCCTGGTTCTGCATCCTCCCTTTGGACTCAGTAACAATCCATCCCTTCATGAGGATTTGATCTCAGTGCACTCTGTTGGCCTTCTACTTCACACGGCTCAGGTAGACTCTCCCTAATTCTGCACATCTCACACTCTAATTCTGAGTTTTCTAGTTTGATTGTTTTCTATTTGGGCAAGATCTAGCCCCTTATGAGAAGACTCAGATTGTGTGTGTGTGTGTGTGTGTGTGTGTGTGTGTGTGTGTGTATGTGTGTGGCAGGTGTGACGTTGAGGTAGGGAAGCACTGAGGATGGTTGGCTAGAACTGAAAGCTTTGGTTTAAGGGTGTACATACATAGAAGAGACCAGAGTTAAGTTCCTGCTCATTTCCCAGAATTCCTTTGATAAATAGCAAAAGAATAGCACATGGCATTGAACAGATTCAAAGCAGCCTTAGTGGGCTCTGGGCCTACATCTGCCGCTCACACCATCACAGACCTTGCCCTCTCAGCTCCCATGGCCTCTTGTGTAAACCTGTCCTTTGTTGTCATCCGTTTTGCCTCCAGTAGAGCCTGGATTACCTGTTCATTGTAAACCACCAATTTCTCCAAAAGTGTCATGAATGCTTTGAGGCCAGGGCCTTCTTTCTGTCTCCTGGTAGCTACCTAGGCCTAAGGCATCTGGAAAATTTAGGGAATTAACAACTTATACATTCTTTCACTTACTAAAACTATTGGGTCTTTTCTATGTGCCAGAGGTTATACTAATAAATAGGAAGAAATGCCACTTATCCCTTGGACACCTCAAAGGGCATCACTGTCACCACCACCATCACTATTAATATCACCACCACTATCACCACCATCACCACCAAAAAACACTACCTCCACCACCAATACCATCACCATCACCATCACCATCACCATCCAAACCGTTGCCTCCATTGTTGTCATGACCACCACCCCAACAGCATCATGACAGTCACTACCGCCACCAACAGCAACATGGCAACCACCACCATGACCATCACTACTGTCACTACCACTTCAGTCATTATGACCATCACCACAAATATCATGACCACCACCACCACCAATAACCATACCACTACCACCACCAAGCCCCCCCCACATCATCATGGTCACTATCACCATCACCACCACCACTACCAGCATAGCTGCCACCACATCATTTGGATGACCACGTCCAGTAACAACAACAGCATCATCATGACCATTACCAATAACAACATCACCAGCATCATGACCATCTATAATAATAACACCACCACCACCATGACTACCAACAGAAACACCATCACCATCATGACCACCACCATCATCATGACCAATAACAATACCATTCATAATCACCACTATCATCATCATGACCATCATTACTACCAATAACAGTACCACCATAACCTCCACCATCACGACTATCACCACCATCATCATGACAACCACCACCAGTAACACCACCACCATTATGACCACCACCATCATCATGACTGCCAACAAGATCATGATCACCACCACCATCATCATCATGACCATCACCACCACCAATAACAGTATCACCATAACCACCACCATCATGATGACAAACACCACCAGTAACAACACCATCAACATCATGACTACTACCCCTACCAACAGTAGTAACACCACCATGGCCATCACCAATAGCTACCACGGGCATCACCTATAGCTACAGCACCCACACCATCATGGCCACCACCATCACCATCATCACTACCACCACCAAAAATAGCATCATTGTTACCACCATTACCACCACCCTCATCAACTCAGCCACTGCTGCTGTGCCTGTCCCAGACTCCCTCCTGTGTTTGGAGATGGGTCATCCCTAGCCAGGCTCCAGTCTGTCCCCTCACTATACTCACTGAAGTCTTCCTAGAGTATCTGCACAAGAGTTCTGTGTTCCCTATAGTTCTCACTCAGCTCCGTAGGCTCCAGGACCAAGTCTAAGTTCTTCACCCATGCCCTTAATGCTTCCTCTGGCCTACCCTCCACTGTACCTCCCACCACCTTCTCCCTGGTTTGGGTTCCCACTTGGTAACCCTCTTACATGTTTGTGTGCATGTGTGCCCCTGTATCTTTGCACAGCTCTTATCCAAGCCCCATTCTCCACCGCTTTCCACGTGGCCCCGTGGTACCATGACTTCTCCCATCTCCTGCCCCAGGATGTATCACCCCACACTCTGCCCCATTACTTTGCCTTGAATATGACATGTGTTCTGAGACATCTCCTTGGTTATGACCTGTAGATGTTTACCATTCCAAGGAGATCTCAAGTTCCTTGGCTGAGGTGCTTAGACCTGATGGCCTCTGGCCTTCAATGCCCAGGCCAGAACTTAGGGCAGAGAGCCAGAGCAGAGAGATTGCTGGGGGGAATTTCAGGATGAGGGAGGGCAGAATACATGATTGTATAGCCATTCTGAGGGCAGACTATGTGCCTGGCCCAGGTCCTTGATGCAGGGAACGGGGACAGTTCCTGCCTCTTACCTGCTCTCCTCCAGCTCCACTTTGCCTCCTGCCTGTGCCTCATTAGGAGATATGTAACCCTAATCCTTGAAATTGCCTGGCATGAATGAGGATTTTATTCCCTGCTTAGATAAATCTCACTCCCCCAGGAAGTTTGGACAGGATATGGGCAATCAGACTAGGATTTGGTACTAAATATTTTGCAAAAGGCCTCTTTCAAAATTTGAAACCCCATGGCTGGAGGCCAGAGCGGAGTCTGGCTTGGCTTGGGGAATGGGGGAGGTTCTCTGTGCTGGGACCCCTCCCAGAGAAGGGAGGGGGTATTGAAAACAAGCCATGCTGCCCTGAGCCTGCTGATGGCTTCCAAGCAGAATCCTGTGGTTTACTTTTGCTTGTCTAATGAAACTAGAGGGAATGTGGTCCTCTCCCTGGCTCTTCTTTCAAGTGTCTGGCACAAGCTGCAAATTTCTCCCTGGCCAGCAAGGGAGCTTGGTCCTGAAATCACTGACCAGTGGGTGGGTATGGATGGGGTGTGGTGCCTGACTAGAGGAGTGGGGTATGAGGGGCGCAGGCCCAGTGTGGTATGTCCCAGGGACCTCACTGTTCCCAGGAGAAGGATGACCATGAGACCTGGTAGTGTTTTCTTTTCTCAGCCGGGGAAGTACCCCTGTGTGCCCTTGGAGAAGCACTCATCTGTTGGTTCCATTCAGTATTCTGCAAGTACGTGAACTATGGTGAGCCTGTAGTCATTTGCACCTCCTGCCCCATGCTGTGTGTCCATGTTCTGCCCAGCAGCCCACTGGGAACAGGCAGCAACTCCAGGTGCTCCTAGATAGGGAGTGTCCTTTCCTGTCCCTTCGGAATCTTCATGGCACAAAGACAGGCCTAGGCACTCGTGTCCCTGCCCCAACCATTCCCTCTTGCTGTCCAGAGCATTTCTGAGTCTATGGCTTCGTACACTGATGGACCTATGGAGATCTGTGAAGAGCCCAAGGTCATAGGTCGAGCTTCTTAAAAATCCAGTCGAGCAATTCCCTCTTTCTTAGAGGACTTCCCAATCCTGGCCGTCTTTGATCTATGTAACCCTTTGCATAGGGCCTGCTTTCCCCTGACAGAATCCCAAGGCTCCACAGAACGTATACCCAAGTGTTCAGCACCCCAGTGTTCCGTGCTGTTGCTTACTCAGCTGCGGGGTTCTTGGGCCTTAGGGAAGCCATATTTGTAGTGTGTGGGGGAGAGAGGTGGGAGGTTCCTTCCCAAAGATCACAACATTGCCTTAAAGTCACATGGTGGCACAAAGGGGCCACTTGGGAACCTTGGTCAGACTCCTCCCTGTTGCAGGCCTCCTGGCTCTTCCTTCTGGGCTCTTCCCCTTCTTCTCTTCTGGAGGACTTGGCTGTATGAAGGCAGAGTAGGAGACTCACCAGGCACTAGGACAGTGGGAAAAGAAGCCCTCGTTAGATGCAGAAGTTCTTTGGAGGTGTGTGCATAAAGGAATGATGTGGAAAGCAGGGAGGAGCACGTAGAGGCTCTACCCTCTCGTTGCAGTGGGATGAGAGAGTGGGTGCAGCCACCTGTGCTATGGGGACCCAGTGCTGCTGGGGGCCTTCACTGGCCCCAAAATGAGAAGGAAGCTGAAGCTCTGTGTACATCTGGGGTGTCTCTTGACCCCAGCTGCCCTGAGAGGCAGTCACCTTGTTTGGGAGGTAAAAAGCTTGAACAGACTTGGACGTCCCTCCTTCCCCCAGAGCCTCTTTCTTCCTAGAAGCCTTCCTACTACATGGGCCTTAGCATATGTTTGTGATTTGGTCATCAGGATAACACAGCTTAGCAAACTTTCCTAGTGTGGTAACCGTTCCTAAAGCCCTGCAGAGAAGCATCTGGAAAAGTCTTCCTGCCGATAGCTGCCCCAGATAGTGTTTTCCCAAAGACATGGTGCACATGGGCACAGTCCAGGAGCAGGTTCCCTTCTGTTTCCACAGCGTAGATGTATAGCCTTCCCTGCTTGGCCCTCTGGCTTTACTCCACCCCCAAATCCTGGGATTTGACTCTCACTGTCCCCCAAATACTCCCTTCTCTGATCTCTCGCAGACTCAATGGGTGCTCACTGGTCATTAACAGTAGTCCCTTTCTTCCCTAGCAAGAAGAGCCACTGAGCTCAGCTCTTAGACCAAGAGCAGCATACCTAGAACTATCCTGATCCAAGTGAGGTGAGCGTTGAGTTTTTGGCTCTCACACCCAAGATCTAAGCAAGCCACAAGTCCTAGAGCCTTAGAAGACATGAGGGCCTATGGGAAGCACCCACCATGGCCACCAAGTGGATGGAGCGCTACACACAGAGAGCAGGCCCTGTGGATGGA